TCTCCAGGCTGAACAACCCCAGCTCCCTTAGTTGTTCTTCATACGGCTTGTGTTCCAAGCCCCTCACCAGCCTCATTGTTCTCCTTTGGACACGCTCAAGCATCTCAACGTCCCTCCTAAACTGAGGGTCCCAGAACTGGACGCAGTACTCAAAGTGTGGCCTCACCAGTGCTGAGTACAGGGGAAGAATTACCTCCCCGCTCCTGCTGGCCACACTATTCTTGATACTAGCCAGGATGCCATTGGCCTTCTTGGCCACCAGGGCACACTTCTGGCTCATGTTCAGCCGACTGTCAACCAGCACGCCTAGGTCCCTTTCCTCCTGAGCACTGTCCAGCCACACCGTCCCCAGCCTATAACGTTGCGGGGGGTTATTGTGGCCAAAGTGCAGGACTCGGCACTTGGACTTATTGAACTTCATCCCATTAGATTCTGCCCATCCATCCAACCGTTCCAAGTCCCTCTGCAAAGCCCTCCATCCCTCTGACAGATCAACACATGCTCCCAGCTTAGTGTCATCTGCAAATTTGCTAATGAAAGACTCTAAACCCTCATCCATGTCATCAATAAAAATATTAAACAGAACTGGCCCCAGCACAGACCCCTGAGGGACACCACTGGTGACTGGCCACCAGCTGGATGTGGCACCATTCACCACCACTCTCTGGGCCCGGCCATCCAGCCAGTTCCTAACCCAGCAAAGAGTGCTCCTGTCCAAGATGTGGGCTGTTGGCTTTTCCAGGAGTATGCTGTGGGAGACAGTGTCAAAGGCCTTGCTGAAATCCAAATAAACAACATCTACAGCCTTCCCTGCATCCACTAGGCGGGTTACCTGGTCATAAAAGGTGACCAGGTTGGTCAACATGACCTACCCCTCCTAAACCCATGCTGACTGGGTCTGATACCCTGGCCATGCTGTAAATTCTGTGTGATGGCACTTAATATAAACTGTTCCATTATCTTGCCAGGTACTGAGGTCAGGCTGACTGGTCTATAATTACCAGGATCCTCCTTTGCACCCTTTTTGTGAATGGGTATCACATTGGCCAGCTTATGTTTTTGTCATTAGTATTGTTGCTATTACTGTTTGTTTTCTTATCTCATTGCTGTTTCCAGTAAATTGTTTTTACCTCAACCCATGATTTTCACCTTTTGTTCCTCCAATTTTCAGCTCCATTCCCAGGATGGGAAGGGGGAGGGGAAGTTGAGGGGAACAAGAGAATGGCATCTGGTTTGGGAGAGTCTCAGTGAGGGCGCTGAACTGGGGAGTACCATTTCTAAACCACAACAATGCAGCTGACTTCTGCAGGCTATTTCAATCTCTAGATGAGTAGCACTGCCATTAGCAGGTATTGTCATGAAGGCTAGCACCTCCAGACTGAACTTCTAGGTTATCAATGGGAGTGTTATAAATCATCAAATCGTGAACCAAAATTATAAAAAATTTAGCAAAGATTTGTTAATTTGTCTGCGAGACTGAAGTTCGGTCTTTGAAACCCCCACAGCCAAAAAGACAGTGTCGAGCCCGGGATCGGCGCCGGCTGAACACGGATCTGACCTCCAGAGTGTCAGAGTCTCCCCCTCGGTTCACGCTCGTGGCTTTGTGCAGCGAGGTTTTATACAGTTTATTCTGCCCGAGGCAAAGATGACTGAATTTTCTTTGTGTCTCTTCACATGCATCGCTGTTGCTTTCCATGTGCAGAGGTGGACAAAAGCCTGATCCAGGTGTGCCTTCAGTTTTCAATCGGCTCCAGAGAAGCCATGTATTCAGATGTATCAGGGTGGCGCCGCTGACTATCTTGATAGATGCAATTGGCAAGGCGATAATCGCTTGTTGCTCCCGACAACTCGGGAAACCTACAATCATCTCCCTGGAAGCTTCTATTCTTACCTTAAGGCATCGATGGTTATCTTAACGTGCATCCTGGAACTTGTTGAATCTAAATAGCTGCTCCCGGCCAGGATAGTCAAAAGATATGGTTTGGATTTCACAATATTTTATACCATACATTAATAGCATGAATTATCCCTACCATATATTACAACAGAGAATTGGGCTTTTTAGTGAAAAAACTGATCTGTAATCATGGCTGCTGCTGCATCTTTTTTTTTTTTTTTTGTTTGTTTGTCTAGAAGCTATACCTGTGTGGAAGACAGGTTCTGCCAAGAAAACTTAGTTAGCTCAACCCTGAGTTTTGTTGTGTCTTGCATTTTTAATCTCAGGCCTTGGGTTGTTTTTATTATGTGTTGGATCACGTGAAACTGCATGTAAGCACGGGAATGAGCTTTCCTGGGAAAACCCCAGTGGTCCGGAGGAATCTGCAGCTTATACAATGCAAACACTTGAGCTGAAGTGAATGTGTTCTGCCCTGGGTAAATCTTTGCTCTGCTCCCATTGTAGGGTGGCATGTAGGGCTAGGCATGTCCTTGCTGCCATAGCCATAGACACTCTTCTGTGGTGGTGTGGTGACAAAAGGCATTCGTTTGCTGCTCTTGGACCCATGCCATTTGTGTCACTGACCTTGAACTGTGGGCTAGGATTGTTTATACAGATCATAAATATTTTGCTTGTGAGGGTGCTGTGGCAAATGACTGAGGCAAGGAGTCAGTGGTGCTGTAACATACCCACATAGAGTCAGTATCATGAGCAGGCATGTACAGACTGTAAAGCCACATGAGCTTCTGAATTTGTTTCATAAAGGTGAACAGAAAAACCTTTTCCTGCGTATCTGGCACTCTGGCCTCATAAAATTTGGGTTGCAAGGCAAAAGCATATGCCAGTCTAAGTAAAACAGTAACCAAGTTATCAATGGCTCTAATCCAATCTGTTTGCCTGGTCCTATTTCTCGGAATAAAAGTTCCCATAACTTGTCCTGTTAAACAAGGTCAGCACCCTGCATCTAAGTTGCATGGTTAAGTGCTTAAATGGAAGAGGGTGACCCAGGATTCTGCTCTCATTGTATGTGACCTGCTTTTGGGTCTCTTTTTGTATTCTCAGTTGATTGTGAGTCTAGCTGTGGTGCAGGTGCCAGGAGATGCTTCTCTGGAGATGGCACATTAGACTGATGAGACTTTCTTGGTGGGTTGAGCAGTGCCAAGGGAAGGATCTGTGCTCCACAGTGCAGAAAGTGGTCTGTGAGTCCTTCTTTGAGGGGAGTATTTTTGTCGTTAATTACTCCAGATTCAGCTTCCTTTCCTACTGGCTGGCTGTTCTAACTGCTGTGAATGGCAGAACAGCACAAGGAAGTTAATATTCAGTGTTAGGACCTCTGCAGCCTTCCCACAACTGACTTGGCTCTCTGAGTCTAGCCCCACATCTGCCTACTAACCTGAGAGGTACGTGAAGGTAATTTTGCTGTCGTTGCCCATTAATATTTGGTTCATCAAGTTATGCTGATTTATTAAACAAACAGATGGTATTCAGACTTGGAGAATGCTTTTGGTGGCAAGAAATGTACTATTAGGAACACAAGTAGATGGACCAGTGTCCTGGTTTGAGACAAATTTAGGATGAAACATCCCAAAAGGGTGTCTCCTCTGAAGAAGGCAGATTTGAGCAACCCCTCCTCCACACAAGGCTCAGAAAAAATTCCCCTGGAGAAAGTGGAAAAAAGAACTGTTTATTTAACAAGCAAGGTGTTCACAGGCATGAATAGAATGAATAATGTGAAATAATAAAACCTCTCGCTTCTCTGAAGCGATAGTAAATTCAGAGTCCTTCTGTGGTTCAGAGAGTCCTTCTGTGGGTGTTCCTTGGCTCTCTCTATGTCTCTCCCCCCCTCCCCCCGGTGCTGGGCTACAAAGTTGCGGCCAGTGCGGTGTGGGAGGGGCCCCCAAGAGATGGTGTTTCAGACCGGAGAAAAGCTGAAGAGTTCCAGAAGAAGAAAAAGCCACAGTCCCAGGAAAACGTTTTTGCTTTAGCTACTAGAAAAACTAGATAAAAGCAAAGAAGAACTCTCCATCTCTTTTCCCTGCTGCATGGCTGGGAACTTGAAGAAAAACCCAGACCCTTATCTCTGTTTTTAAACACAAGCAGGGAAAGGAATTTCCACCACTTCCCCCCATTCTCTCTTCGAGCTTGCTTAAAGGCAGACAGTAGGGGATACAATACAGCATCATAAAGTCACCCTAGGACCACCAGTTTAACTCGCACAAGAAAGGCAAAAAAACCCCAACCCTTTAGATCTTAATTGAACAGGTATTCAATAATTTTTAAATTTTTTTCCCACACAGAAAGAGTAATTAAAAACTTTTGCACTGGCAAATGTAGAACAGGTCTTAACTGGTATACACAAGACAGATGATGGACCTTGGACCTGGCTAGCATGAGATTTGATAACAGGATGCCTTGGCAAGAACAAACAGCTTTCAAGATTGAAAGAAGATTAAATCAGACTGGTTTACTGGAAAAAGAAAATTACATCAAGTTCTGCAAGCAAAAGATGTTTAAAATGTATAAGTTTGTTTATGTAATGATTAACCCAATCATTGTAGTAAAACATTACTAGTCTTCCTAGAATAAGTATATAAGCAGTTATACTTAACAATAAATTCAGATTCTTTGACCGTCACACAGTCCCTGTCTTTCTCCAATCACTGATAGTCTTTTCACCTTAGTAAGTTTTTTTATCCTGCAAGTGTTTTGAAACTAGCAAGAGTGCAATTATATCTTGAGCTTTAGCTTTTCAAATCTAGCTTATTCTGTTGAACAACAGTTGTTGGATAGTACTTCTTGAATTAGGATTTGGTAAATTCCTTATGGATTGTTTTCTGAGTGTTACCAGCCCAAGTAAGGCCTGGTGTTTAGATTTTTCTTGTTCAGTTAGTATTTTCTTCATAAGAAATTGTGTAGAGTTATACTGTGGGTCCACATGGGCACTGATATATAAAACAAGCTATTTAATGGACATATTGGAATTTTTTCCATGTTTTTCACTGCAATGATTGCTTGTTGATATCTTTGTTGTTTCATAATTAAAATATTTTGCTTTATTTTCCAGGCTCACATTAAATTTCCTATTGACTATCCATATTCACCACCTACGTTCAGATTCCTGACCAAAATGTGGCACCCCAACATTTATGAGGTAAAGTGGTTTTTAAGCTAATAATTTTTTTCCAGTATGTGAAAAGGTTTCCTATGTCCTTAATTTCTGGAAGTATTGAAGGTACTAAATATCTTTAGCCATAACTAAAATGGTTAGCTGTTTGTGTTTAAATGTCAGCTTCATGGTTGCAGAGTTAAATCTAAATGTTGTAGGAAATGCTGTTTCTGTAGGCAGGGATGGAGCCTTTCTCATACCTGCAAGTGCAGCAAGTAGCCCCAGCTGAAGAATCATGTCATGGGTGTTGGCAGTTTTAGGGTATTCTTGGATCCCCTAAACTGGTGCATGGAGTCTTGCTGTACTGGGATACTTAGACAACTAGTTGTTTGTACACCTTTCAAGTACATTTTTAATTTGAGTATATCCTACAAAATTTTGTGATGAGACAAGAAATGTTAGGGAAAAGTCTCCTGCAGCAGTTAACCTATGATAAAGGGGTTTGGACTTAGGGTACTCCAACTGCAGAAAGAACCAGAGCTGGAGTCCAGCTTCAGGAGTCATGCACAGCCTTGTCACCCTAAGACCAGAGTGAACAGATACCGTTTGACTTAATGTCTGCTAATCAATTTGAAGAAGCCCTTAGTTCAGTGCATATATGAGTGGTGTTCAGAGTGTAACACTAGGCTGTCAAGTCCATGATTGGATCATGGTACAACTACATAGCGAGTTCAGAAGGAGAATTATTTTATATAAAAGTTTTTTAGAAAGAAGCACTCCCTAGCTTGAAAATATTTTCTTCATGATGCTGAGCATGGGCTGCTTGAAGAGATTTAAAGTTGTGAAGGACTGTCTTAGGCTGGAAATGGGGGTGTGTATTCTATTCCCATCTGTTAGAGGTGGAGCAGTTATCTTCTGTTAATTGGGCAGTTTTCTTTATCTCTTCCACAACCAATCCTCCCACCTGGGAGATATCTTCTGTTAATGGGCCACTGAGTGTCACTGCATGACTGATAAAAATCACATCATCCCATTGTGAGATGATCTGCCCAGGGGGAGAAGCCAAGCATTCCTACCCAGATATAATCAGACATTTGGAACAATAGAGACAGCCTTTTCCCACTGGATTCCCAGAGGAGCAGCTGTCTTCTCCACTGGATTCCCAGAGGAAGATCAGGCCCATCTACACCACCACTGGATCTTCAGAGGAAAACTACACCTTTCTACAGGATCACTGCTTCAACAGAACCACATCTGTCACTCCAGGGGGACAGCAGCCACCATTTAATCACACTGCTACCAACACCCTGACCAACAGGGTGTCAGGTCGTGTTCTGACTCCGTCAGTGGTTTGTTTTCTGGTTTTTTTGTAGTATTGCATTTGTATTTTTAATTTTCCTGGTAAAGAACTGTTATTCCTATTCCCATATCTTTGCCTGAGAGGCCCTTAATTTCAAAATTATAATAATTTGAAGGGAGGGGGTTAACATTTTTATTTCAAGGAAGCCTCCTGCCTTCCTTAACAGACACCTGTCTTTTCAAACCAAGACAGTGAATGCTGGTATAAGGGTGGGTCTGAGAACTTGTAAGTCATCTCACAGAGGGCTGCAAGAGGCAGCAAGCCTGTGGGGCCTGGAGAGGCCATCTGCAGTCTGGCCCCAGGCCCCATCTGCACTTCCACCTCATCTGGCATTGAGACCCCATGATCCTCTGGAGTTAACTTCAGTGAAGACTCTCATCTGTGGTAGATACTGCTATAGCAATCCTGCAAACTACTCATGTCAGAGTGCTATTGCTGATGAAGAATTGGTTTTATAGGCATCTTAAATTGTCTAAATGGTAGGCATTATAGAACTTTAAATCTATCTTCAGGTCATAGCACTGTGAGTAGATTGATACAGACTGAGGATTATGTAGCTGTATGGGTTCCATATCCTGCCAAAATATTCTTCCTCTTGCATGCTGGAAGGGATTTTCAGTGAAACCTTCAGAGAGCATCTCCTGCTTTTTCAACTGACATTTTGAACAGCTGTGTCCTAGGAAAGCAGTGTAAGCCTGCCTCACACCATCTGTTCAACATTCTTGTGTCATGAGAGAAGCATTGTTTTAATACTTGAGCTAGTAGAGTGTGCTAAACCCTTCAATTAAAAAGTTCCTGGAACTAACTCAGCTACCAATGATGTGGTGGGTTGACCTTTGCTGGATGCCAGGTGCCCACCAAGCCACTTTATCATTCCCCCTTCTCAGCTGGACAGGGGAGAGAAAATAAGATGGAAAATGACTCGTAGGTTAAGGCAGTTTACTAAAGCAAAAGATTGTGCACACACAAAGGGGAACAAAGAAGGGATGTTATTCTCTACTTCCCATCAGTGAGTGATGTCCAGCCAATTCTCAGGAAGCAGGGCTTCAACACATGTAGCAGTTGCTCCAGAAGGCAAACATTGCAAATAACAAATGCCCCCCTTCTTCCTCATTCCTTTAGCTCCTATATCTGAATTGATGCCATATTGGTGCAGTACAATCTGACTTGTACTGAACATAATCCATTTACAAATAAGAAACCCAGTCCAGTTCCATAAACCAGTCTCTAGGCTGACTGACGGAGGTCTCAACCAATAACAACTCTCCTAAAATACAAGCATTTGACTGGTTCAGAGTGTGGGAGGCATGGGGATGAGACCAATGGCTGTTTAAGAACCGGGAGCTTTGAATTGCCTTTAAAAGCAAGCCCCGAACAAGAAAACATGCTGTTTGGCTGATGACCAAAGGAGGTCTGTTGTATGTTAAGTCTCAGACATAAGAACACCAACGTGTCATGTGGTGACCCTGTTGTGATGACAAGCAGCTCAAGTTTTTGGCCTGGAGGTAGAGTGGAAAGAGACATGGCAGAGCATGCTGAGCCTTTCCCTACAGCAAAAAGCTGGAAAGAAAGAGGCAGGGAAAGCCCAAAAGCGGCAGCAAAGGCTGCAAAAGTCACAGCCAAAGTGCCATGTGAAAAAAGAAACCAGAGAAGCTGAAAATAGAAGAAAAACCCCACTGGAGACATGGGAAACTTTATTTCTACTCAGGACCACCCTGTACTAAAGGTATGGAAACTTCTTATTGAGGAACGGGACGTACACTATGATGAAAAAGGCTTATTAGCATTAATAATGTGGGCTAAGAACCGCGGTGTAGACACAACTAAAGCAGCTGCTTTTGACTTTAATATCTTGGCACAAACCAGTCAATATATTATCAGGGCAGCTTCGAAGGGTGAGGAAAATGCAATACGAGTTATAAACCCATGGAGACTCAATGCGGGAAATCCAGGACTCCTGTACAACTGATTGAAATAAACAGGGCAGGAGACTTTTTCTCCTTTTAATGCCTTTATTAAAAGTGATCAGCTCAAGACTGAGAAGCTCAAAGGGTCTGCAGTCTCCATCATCTCTCCCAGGGTAACTCGCAGGAGGAGGATATGCACAGCTCTGTCCACTAGGGGCAGAGCTGGGGGTCCAGTCCTCATGGGAGCCTTTAGGGTGTGACCCAGATGTTGATCTCTGCAGCTTTGCTCTCTCTGGGTCCCGGTTTGAGAGGATTTTCTTGTTCAGGGTGAGGGGTAACAAAGGCCCCCAGCATCTCTGCAGGCCCAGCACTCCACTCCTCACGTCCAGACGTCACTCCAATTCCCCAACTCTATATTGGCTCATTGTTTTGGGGGTCTTTTCAGTAAGTTTGGAGTAGTAGTTTCTCATGGCATGCTGGTCCTGAGGTTATTTTGCATGCCCTCCCTCCCAAGTCTTGTCTTTTCTTCTCACTGTCTGGGGATGTCCCCTCCCTTCACTGTCTCGGAGAAGAGCCATTAACTTAGCCCTAGCCAGGGCCTTTACTAATACAAAAAAGAACCATTAACGACAACGACTTGTAATTATCATAACAAACAGGTACTGCTTTAGCAGCAACAGTGGTCTGACTAGTTTTTGTAACCTTTTTCTCACAAAAAAAATTGGCAGATTTTTTGTTTATAACACTGACCAGTTTGATCAAGCAGAAGCCGTTTATTTTTTACATTATACATGTTTTTATAGATTCTACACACTACTAGGTAGACCCTTCATGATTGGTGCCTTTGTCTTGTTCTCTCCTTCTCTGCCTCCATTTCTCAGCATCTGTGATTGGTTACAGTCCAGGTGTTTCACAGTCCTCTGTTATCTAGTTCTTGCGATCCTGGTATGCCATTTCTCAGCTCCTTCGTTCTTATTTTACCACAGTTGATGTCTTAGTAACCTTGATGAATTCCACAGTGCCCTGAGAAAATTCTGATAAGAACAGTTACAAGGGCTATGGCTGGTGCACACTGAGGCCTAAGTTGTTCAGATACATTGCTACAGGGACTTATCTTGGATTTAATAAGACTGTTAAATACTGAAATATATGGTGAGGAAAGCACACCAGATGAGTTTTCGGGGGGAGTAGGCACCTTTCCAAACCCACAGAGCACGTGGCTGGAAGAAACAGCCAGCCATGCTGTTCCATGTGGCTGAGATACCTTAAATTCCCCCCCCCGCACCGGCACTGTTCCTGAGAGAGCCATCCCCCGCACCCCACCCCGCAAAGGGGGACACCACCACGCAGTGAAACGGAAGGGGGCGGCAGGGTCCTAGCGACGCCGGGGCGTCCAGTGTCGGCACCATGCAAATGCTACTCCGTGTCTGCTCCACAGGGTTCCTACAGTGACTCGAGCCCTGTCGCCATTTTACAACTGCCTGTGACCATGACTCAGCCCCACGCTGTTCCCGAGACCCTCCCCCTCCCCCCCCCCCCCCGTAGCCAGGGCAGCCCACGCCCCCCTCACCTCCATGGAAACACCCAGACCACCCCTGCCCAGAGCTGGTTGGCTCAGCCACAGCCCCGCACCCCCCATCTCCATAAAAACACTGAGACTGTCTCCTGAAACCAGGTGGCCCCGCCCAGAGGGAACACCAGCAACTTCAGGGAGCTTAACCACGCCTCCGTCGGAGGACCTACCTACACCCCTGATCCAGCCTATGTCAGAGGGCAGGGCTCCGTCCCCAAGCCAACCTTCGGAGAACACAGCCACGCCGCCAGTGGGCATGGCCCCGCCCCCAACTCTGCCTTCAAGGACGGATCTGAGAAAAGCTGCAGACACCAAATCAAAAAGCAGAGCATGGGAAAAGTCCCTGCAGGGAGCCCATCCAGCAAAAAGCAGTGGAAAGAAGCATGTAAGGGTGTGGTGCCATGGGATTAATAGTAGTCAAGCCATCCTGAAAAGATGGTGCTGACCACATGGCACAGCCGTTTTACAGCAGCTAAGAGCGAGCCACTATCAAGTCCAGTGGGAAACCAGCACCTCCCTACATATGGACAGTGAAAAAGCAAACAAAGACCAAGTTCATACCCCTTAAACCTCAACAAAACTTCACAGCCACCCTGCCTTCTGATATTTCAACTATAGAAAAGTTCTCATATTCCACAAACTCTAATAAACTAATAACATGTGCTAAGGGTAAAAATATTGAAGGGTTGTCACACAAGGGTTACAAAATCACACAATAGTTTACTAAATATGCCCTAGAACTCATAGTACAATATTTATTATTGTTTTTTGCATTTGCTAAAACCAAAATTGATAAGCCTGTGATACCTGATTCTGCTAAAGTTATTAAAATATTACATTTCTGTCTCAGGTATGGGCTACTGTGTCTCAAAGAGATCCTAGGATGTATGTTAACAAGTCTTGGTGTACTCCTAGTTTCTGCCTGCATTGTTTCTAAATCGACCTGGAAGATTAAAAGAATATCCTCATCCTAACATTCTAGGTACACTAAAGCATACATAGAACATTAATTTACTAACATCATAAGCAAATTTAAGCTGCAAATTTTTTTAACTGAGAATTTGCCACCTGTCATCATTTAAAAAACCTAAAAGTCACCTGTTAAACCAATAACAAATTTCTAACCTCTAACAAAAATAAGAAAGGTATATTACTTGCACTTTTACCATAGTAACTAGAACATTTAAATACCTATATTTCTTTAATTATTCATAAGTTGTTCATGTTAAAAATTTCTTGCATTAGATATTAATACAAGCTTGTTTTTAAAATATAAAATACAGAAAATCTCTCCCAACCAAGTCATGGCCTTATCAAGCCATGAACCTGGTTGGTAAAAAAAATATATTAGTATACAAACTTTACAAAAACAAAACCCTTTTCCCCTTGAGATAAATGAGAAAGCCTTGTCCAGAAGGGGCTCTTTCAAGTCCTCATAGTAAAAAAGAGACCTCTCAGCAACCCTCTAGGTAATAGTACCTTATTAATACTGTTCAAAGTCCATGTTCTGATCCTAATTTTAATCATTAATACAAAGAAAAAAAGGGGGGGGGGGGAAAGGTTGGAGTGAATGTACACCCCCTCTCTAAGTCTAAGGTAATATAGTGTCTTTCAATCAATCATATAACAGTACAATAATCCTATGATAAATACATTTCCATGGACTCTGGGACATGCTAGACACCTACTTGATGTATCCAGCCTGAACTACATCCTGCTTGGAACCACAGCATCAACCCAATGTCCTGTCAACAGATATCACAGAACTGTGAAACCAGAACAATTAATAACTACTTCATAGAAATCTGACACTACTGAAATAACAGTTCATATAGAGACTCTATTTGCTTACAAATTGCTGTATCTGTTAAGTTTGTTTTTTTCTTACAGTTTGAAAGTTGAATGTTTGAAAGTTTTTAATTTCAGTTTAGAATTAAGATATAACTTACAACTTTGTTTACAAATTATTTTTCAAGTTTACAAACTGTTTTTCTGTTTACAAATTGTTTTTTCTACTAGTTAGACTTTTCTTTAATCGTTAAGAGTTAAGTAGTTTGTTCTTTTTTGTCTTGGTTTGGAAAGACAGGTGTCTGCTAAGGAAGGCAGGAGCCTCCCCTGAAATGGAAAAATGTAAACCCCCTCCTTTCAAATCGTTATAAATTTTAAATTAAGGGGCTCTCAGGCAAAAATATGGGAGCAGGAATAACAGTTCTTTATTAGGGAAGAAAATAAAAATATAAAATAAACAATGCAGTAAACTAAAACAACACTGACAGAGTCAGAACACAACCTGACACCCTGTTGGTCAGGGTGCTGGTAGCAGTCCAATTGGAATTGTGGCTGCAGTCCTCCTGGAGTGTCAGGTGTGGTTCTGCTGGAGCAGTAATCCTGTAGAAAGGTGTAGTCTTCCTCTGAAGATCCAGTGGAAGAGGCAGCTGTTTCTCTGGGAAATCCAGTGGAAAAGGCCATGCTGGTGTTTCAGAATCTCCAGATTATATCTGGGTAGAATGCTTGCCTCCTCCCTCTGAGCTGAGCATCTCACAATGGGATGCTATAGTTCTTATCAGTCATGCAGTGACATTCAATAGCCTATTATCAGCAGATGTCTCCCCAGAGGGAGGATTGATTGTGGAAGAGATAAGGAAAACTGCCCACTTAACGAAAGACATCTGCCATACAGATGGCAAATAGAATACAATTTGTTTGGCAACTCAGGACATTTTTAAAGATAAATTATTATTTGTAACCTAAACTTTAAGCCCGTAACATGCTAACCTGAATTCTTGCCTACAGACTCTGAACCAAAATGCTTCAGCTTCACTAATATATAATTTATGAAAATTAAAACCATGCTGTTTTCTGTCACCATGATTGCAAGGGACCCTTGCAAATAGATGACAGAGAGCAAGTTACAATTTTAGTAAAGACAAAAGGGTGAGATGTTGCAGTACAATCTGACTTGTACTGAACATAATCCATTTACAAATAAGAAACCCAGCCCAGTTCCATAAACCAGTCTCTAGGCTGACTGACAGAGGTCTCAACCAATAACAACTCTCCTAAAATACAAGCATTTGACTGGTTCAGAGTGTGGGAGGCATGGGGATGAGACCAATGGCTGTTTAAGAACCGGGAGCTTTGAATTGCCTTTAAAAGCAAGCCCCGATCAATAAAACATACTGTTTGGCTGATGACCAAAGGAGGTCTGTTGTATGTTAAGTCTCAGACACACGAACACCAACGTGTCACCATATGGTATGGAATATCCCTTTGCTCCATTTGGGTTAGCTGGCCTGGTTGTGTCATCAAATCTCTGCCTCAAACCAGGCTATTCTCAACTTTTGTTTCTATCTTGCAGAATGGGGATGTATGTATTTCAATTCTTCACCCACCTGTAGATGACCCACAAAGTGGAGAGCTGCCCTCCGAGAGGTGGAACCCTACCCAAAATGTCAGGTAACTGTGAATCTGTGATGTACAACAGTGACCTCAAAGGCCTGTGATCTCTCTCCAAGACTATGGCCTGTGTTGGGAAAGTTTTGGAACAGAATTCAAGACTTTAGGAGCTTTAGGTCCTTAACTGGGTGCAAACCAGACTTAAGAAATTGTCTAAAGTGCTGATGCTGAGGTGTGCTGATGATGGACTAACAATGTAGAGAATTCTGTCCTGTTTGCAGGCTTTCATGCTCCCAAAGCAACTGATTTCAAATTTTCTGCCCTTCCCTGGTCATTGTTATCCTATAGTTAGGGTTTTCAAACTCTTCCAAGATACCACTAGTGGAAAATAATATTTTTGGGTATTTGTGCCCTGTAGGAGTAATTTTGTTCATAATCCTGCCTGCTGTTTGCCTTACAGTATTTGTGTGTCTCCTGTCCTGCAGTGTGATATCTTGAGTGGTTAGCCAGGTAGCTTTCTTCCTGACAAAAAGACACAAAGGATCACTAAGTATTAGAGGCATTTGGGGCTGACCTGTCTTTTTTTTTTTTTTTTTTTTTTAACACCAGCTGAATTTCATTCTTATTCCAAGACACTGCCAATAAGGAACTGATAAAACTCATATCAAGTAGCAGTTTACCTGTGCAGCTGGAGTAGTAAGTGATGTAGTGAAAAAACTCTAAGGTACTTTCTGTTCTAACATTTTAAACTGATTTATTATCCAAATAAGGTTAAAATAATTGCCTCTAGATTCTTATCATATGAGAATTATTCTTGCTCTCAGATTTATTAGGTGCTGGTTCCTCAACTTGAAATCTGTTATTTACTGGTAAATCCAGTAAGGGTCTCAGGACACCTGAGGGAATATAGTGATTTGAAAAATATTGTCTGACAGTTTAACTCAGCTTTCATCTAACTTGGCTTCACAAAATTCATTTGAAAGGAGCCTCTATCAAAGCAAAGATCTAACAAAGGGGATTCAATGGATTCTCGACCCTTGAAATATGATTGTAACACACATTGCAAAGTGCTGAACTAGAGCTAACATAGCAGGAGACTAGGAATTGTAGCAGTCAGCAAATTATAACAACTGATGTTCCTCCTAGAGCATGCTACTTAAAGGTTAAAAGGGCTCAAGAGAACTTGTGTATCTTAGCTGCATGAAGTCATGAAGGGTTGGGAATCTGATCCTTAGAGCTTGAGGTAAAGGTTATCCAATCCATCTGTAACAAATACACATTCTAGTTCAGATTTATAAAAAAGAAAAATAGGCTTAAATACTATCTTCATCAGCTACATTCACCTGTCCCTCTTCTCAGATGGCTATTAAACTGTTTTTTTCAAACATCTGATATGGTTAAGACTAGGTGACAAGCTTCAACTTACAGTTAGAAAACAGCTTTGGGCATTAGTTGCTTATAATGCGCACACATTTTGAGTATTTCACAATATACAACCCTAAATATTGACATGAAACTTCTTATGGTACTAGTTCTCTGATTTCTGCTCTCCCTTACCATGGTGCAGTTTTTGGTCCTTACTCTTGGAACATGTTCATCTTAACAGTGATATTTGGAGAGAAAACATTCCTCAGCTGTATCAGCAAGCAGAAATAAAACTTGTCCTTCACTGTTAGCCTACTGCCTGTGTAACCTAGGGCTTCTCATCAGCTGCTGAATTTTGTAAATCCGCTTACTACAGATGACTGTGGTTGAAGTGTCTGGAGTGAGGAATGTAATTCTTCAACTTTGAGAGCACTTGTGCATCTCTCCACCTAATGGTTTCAAGCATGCTCATTAATTTTTTCTAAACACAGTCAATATGGACTTTCCCATCACTTGGAGCTAGATGAGGCCGGCATAAGTAAATATAGCAAACTTCCATCAAGAGGTGAAGGAATGCAGTTGTGATCTGTATGGCAGAATGTATTGCTTTTCTTATGTCCCATAAAGCTGAGGAAGTGGTTGCAGGGCTATGGGGTTGAGGCTCTTTGATAAATTTTAGTTACCTTTCTCCATCTAGCCTGGCCTCACTCTGTCTTTTAAGGTGCACAGGCCAGAATTCAGCACAATATTCAAGATGTCGGTATATCTGTATCTTGTGCTGATATGTGGTGCCTCATCTTACTATTGCTTTGTTTTCTGAGGATACCCATTTTTGTTGTTAACGTAGGGTCAGAGACAAACACATGACACAACAATGGTGGGTCATCAGCAAACTGTGTTTTATTGTTCAGAGCTTTCTTTTATAAGGAGTTCAAAACTCCTGGGTCTAGACAGCCATTGGTCTGATCTTTTATGCCCCCCAGATCCTGGACCAGTGATATGCCTGCAGCTTAGGATGGAATGTAATTGGTTGAGGTTCCTGTCTTTCAACCCAGAGACTGGTTTTATGGAGCTGGCTGGGTAGCCAAATTATTGCCCAGTACAAGCCAGCTTGTACTGTGATATAATGTGGCAACATTTTGTTGGCTTTTTCTGGCTGCTTTAGTGCACTGAGCTGTTTGCAGAAACTGTTCAGATGTAACAAAACTTTCAGTACAGTCTAAGTCTGATACTTTTGTTCATACATGGAGAGAAAAAAATGCAGCTAACAGTTCTGATTCCTTGATCCTCTACTGGCTTCTCTCTGCTGATAAAGGCGTGTAGAGGAACTGTCCTGGTTCCAGCCAGGACAGAGTTAATTTTTTTTGCAGTAGTAATGAGGGGGTGGAGCCTGGACCTGTGTGGGCAGGGCTAGGAGATTATTTTATACCACCTCGCATCGTTGCCAGTGTGGGGTTAGGGTACTTTTTGGCTTCTAAGAAGGATGGGATTTCCAGTGGAGAAAACTGTGGTGTGGCAGGAGGGGGAAACCTGCCCACCATTTCTTCGTTGTTCCCCAGGATTCATGGTGAGCATTTTTGCCTGTGGTTTGTACACTTTTGTTATTTATATTGTTGTTTTCTAATGTCATTGCTGTTTCCAGTAAATTGTTTTTATCTCAACCCGTGATCTTTTGTGCCTTCCATCAAAGGGGGGAGGCAGCCAACTGCAGGTCATGGTCTTTTTAGTGGGAGTACTAAATTGGGGAATACCATTCCTAAACCAGGACAGGCATTCACTCTGAAGACAACAGCACTGTAAACACAAACCAAAGAGATATGCCAGCTGATGAGCACACTGTTCCCCAGAATGGGGTGGGGGATATAAGAAAGCAAAGGTGGGCTTTAAATACCCACTCTTCATGCAAACAACTCGCATGAAACAACATGCTAGAACCTCACCTAAGGGAGAAACAGATCCATAACTATACTGGAGAGGGTCAGTCTGTATGCAGTCTGGTGCAGTTTGTATGTGATGCTAAGGATGTTTTCAGTCACACATGGTGGAACTTTTCTGTGGTTTCTGTCCTGTCAGATCCCCTGTTCTGGGATCCCTTTCTGTTACTATACCTTGTTCACCTTGCTTACCCACAGCAGCAGGGTTTGAGTTAAGGAGAATGGCCAGCTCTTAAGGATATGAGCAGCGATGGAGCTGATCTAATGTGCTGGTCAGAAATGAAAAGCGCACAGTGTCTCACCTCTAATAGACAGTAGATAGATTGTGGTAGAGTGGGTGCTAAATCCAGATGTGAATTCCTGTCCTTGGCTTTCTCGATATTTTGCTTGCTTTACAGTAATGATGCTGAAGCTGATGTGCTGGCTTTGCAGCATGATTGCTGATAATTCAAAGGCTTTTAAGTGAATTCTTGAGTTGAAGTAAAAGATGGTTTATTTTCTGCTCAAAATTCCAGTCTGACCAGACAGCTTTTTCCATAGCTGCTGTTCTATTTCCTACTGAATTACATTATTTGTAGAGTAAATTGTATATGACTCTCCTGATAGCTATGCTGAACAGTCTGGCCAGATGTAAGTGTGTAGTTTCAAAACCTTCCTATAAAGTCTTCATCCAAATGGCCAAATGTTTCCTGGAATTGTATCCCAGATAAATTATTCTGTGAAAAACTGAGCTTACTCTTTGAGATTTTTAAAAGATTAATAAGGGATAAAAAGGGACAAATATCCAGCACTGGTGTGTTTTTGGCAAAAAAACATACCTTTAGCTTAAAACAATGTTCTTCTATATTGTTACATGACAGGGGGTACATGCATATTCATGAGAGTTTATACATTATTCAAACATTCCTGGGAGTTAAGATGTTCCAGGAATTCTTTTGCTTGGTTTTAACCTTTGATTTGTCTTCATGCCATCTTGTAGATTAAATCAATATATTTTATTTCTTCTTGTGATTCCATCTTGCTGTTTTTACACGACTTGATAACAGAGTCAATAAATTCTTCTCTTGGTGTTCTGGTTTTTGTCCCTGTTATCTTATCCTTCAGATAAGATAGTCCACAAAATGTGGGGAACCACCTAATTATCTTACACCATTCTCTGAGTTAGTTATGTGAAAAAGCATTTTAACATCACAGTCTCTATTTTAATATTATGCTACAGTCTAAGATATAATATATTTATCACACTACTATTTATATAAGCTATATGGTGCATACTTAAACTGACAGATTCTACTATACCAAAAAGCAGTTAAAAGGAAATATAAATTGTACCGTATCAAAATCTTTGTGATTAATAATAATATGCAAAAGGTAATACATAAATGTGAAAGCTAATACTATATTGTCATTTATAACAATATGCTTGTAGATATGCTCAGCATGCATTGCTCTGAATATGCCTCTAAATCAATTCAAGTACAGTTGGGGCTGTAGTCTCCTTTAATCATGTTCTGCAAAGCAGTTGCTATGTACTGCTGTATTTCAAGACTTATTTCCTTGTCTCTTGTTCTTCCCTTCCATTTAAATTAAAAGCTGTTCAAAGCAGGACCACCTCAGATGCAGGAAGCTATTGCAGTGGTAGCTACGGCCAGGTGGCCAGGTGTGTAGAGCTGCCTGATGGGATTTGCTGTTGAGTTTTGTGCTGGTTGTGACACTGTGTGAGGAACAAAGGGCTGAATCTCTGAAGTGCAAAGAGCTGTAGGAAATGCAAAAGGGTCTGGCCAGCAGAGGGGAAGTGGTGTTTGTCCCTGATAAATGATGCCAGCAGAGCAGGGCAGCTGGCTAGCTCTGGGCTGCTGCTAGAAATCCAGGAAGGCTGTCTGTCTGCCAGGGGTTACGTGACTGGCTCATGCTGGCTTTGCTGAGTACCAGCAGTTCAATCTTGCTGGGCCCTTGTCGGTTTGCCTGAGTGTTGAGTACAGCAAGAGGAAGACAGTGCAGATATTTTTCAAGTACTGCTACAGCAGTCTTGGCACACAGGCTGAGGAGAAGGGACACCTGGCCACAGCTCCAACCTCTTAATACACTGTGGGGTAGGGAAGGCAATGCAGCCTCATCTGATGGCTTTGGGTTGTATCAGTCAGGATAAGCAAAGAGCCTGGCTTTCTGCTGTGAGGCTGAATGTCATGAAGAACAGGCTCACTAAGCAGGTTTCCAACCCTGCACTATCTATGGGTGGTATGGATTAACTGAATTCTGGTCTGATGCAAGCTTTACCTGCTGCCCTGTCACAAATGTGTACAGACATGATAGTCTGTCATCAGATTAGGTCTTTGAGGTTTGTATTGTGTTATCTTCCCTATGCTGATCACCAAGGTCTGAAGTTCATAAGTATTTGCTCTTACTTCAGCTATTGTCCTGTTGCCTTTTTCCCAACCTGGAAATGAAACTCAAGATAATTTTAGTAAGGAGGTAGTATAAAAGGGGATCTTTATTTGAAGGCTTCCAGAGGCAGTTATGGAAAGATGTCCACAAAAGCCCACCCCCCATAGGGGTGAGTACATTTTTATAGGAAATTAGCATAATTGATAAAAAGCACCAATTAGGAGGACAAGTGGTGATGCAATTTCCCCCCAGGTTAAGCCCCTTCTCATGAGTCCCTCCTTCAGCACTAGTTGTACTTAGTCCATGAACTGTATCTCAAAGAGTTGTTCTCAACCTTGGTTCCCAGAAAGAACCAAGATAGCATTGGGGCCTTGTACATCCCGGGGCTTGGAGCTCTGGAATTTGTTTTGTCTTTCTGCCTAGGGAAAGGCCATAGAAAAGTACTGGGAAATCTAGTCACTAATACAATAGACTACACACCTACAAATATATGTGTGAAGAATATAGAAAACAGAAAAGAAAAAGGCAAAACCCCAACGGCATCAGTCCTTAGTGTATTGGGTTTGCATGGCCAGGTTTTGACAGCAGGGGGGCTACAGGGATGACCACTGTGAGAAGCTGCCAGAAGCTTCCCCCATGTCCAGCAGAGCAACACCAGCCGGCTCCAGAATGGACCCACTGCTGGCCAAAGCTGGGCCAATCAGGAATGATGGTAATGCCTCTGTGATAACATATTTAAGAAGAAAGAAAAAAAAGTGACTACGCAGTTGTAATTGCAGCCAGAGCGGGGTGAGAACATCAGAGGAACAGCTCTGCAGACACCAAGGTCAGTGGAGAAGAGGGGCAGGAGGTGGTCCAGGCACCAGAGCCGAGAATCCCCTGCAGCCCGTGGTGAAGACCATGATGAAGCAGCTGTCCCCCTCCACCACAGAGGACCCCATGCTGGAGCGGAGGGATGCCTGAGAGGGAACTGTGAACCTGTGGGAGGCGTGTGCTGGAGCAGGTTACTGGTAGGGACCTGCAAACCCATGGAGAGAAAGGAGCCCATGTTGGAGCAAGTTTCCTGGTAGGACTTGTGATCCCATGGGGGAGCCACACTGGAGCAAGCAGTGCCTGAATGATGGCACCCCATGGAAAGGGACCCACACTGGAGCTGGAGAACTGTCTGTGGGATGGACTCATGTTGGAGAAGTTTGTAGAGGACTGTCTCCTGTGGGAGGGACTCCGCGTTGGAACAGGGGAAGGACTCCTGTCCCTGAGCAGTGGAAGAAACAATGGGTGAACTGACCATAACCCCCACTCCCATCTCCCTGTGCTGCTGGGGGGAGGAGGTAGAGCTGGGAAGGAGGGTGGGATGGAGGAAAGGTGTTTTTTTAAGGTCTTATTTTACTTCTCATTATCCTGCTCTCATTTTGTTAGTAATAAATTCAATTAATATCCCCAATTCAAGTCTGTTTTGCCCGTGATGGTATTTGGTGAGTGATCTCTCCCTGCCTTTATCTCAACCCATGAACCCTTCATTATATTTTTTCTCCCTTGTACAGTTGCAGAGGGGAGTGAGAGCAGCTTTGGTGGGTGCCTGGCATCCAGCCAACATCAACCCACTACACTTAGATATCCTTAATTATTCATAAGTTTTGACTTTAAACATGTTTCTGATGCATCACCTAAAGAAGTTGTCAGCATCCAGAATCCATGAATGCGTTAGCTCTGACTTTGCTGTTGTGATTACCTGTTTCAGGACTATCTTACTGAGTGTAATCTCTTTGCTTAATGAGCCCAACACATTCTCTCCTGCCAACGTGGATGCATCAGTCATGTTCAGGAAATGGAGGGACAGTAAAGGAAAAGACAAGGAGTATGCTGAAATCATAAGGTAAACTTTGCTCTGTGTGATGCTGTGCTACTGGCTTCCCGCTTTGAATCCTATGAAATAGGCTGATTTCAGAATTTGCTGAAACCAGCTTTTCACTGTGGTTGCTCCTTTCAAAATGAATTTTACAGCCTTATTCCAAGTTCATTCTTCTGGACAGAAATGGTGCAAACTTGTGTCTTTGTATTGTTCTTTTTCAGACTAATCTGGCACGATACTCTGCAAAACCTATTAGCTGCTAGTGAATTCTAGTCTAAGTCCCTGTGTACCTTTGAGGATTGCTTGCATTGCTTGAGATGTGATTCAAACTGCCTTCATGCTACTAGTTCTGTGCTTAATTCACTCATGAATCATAATCTTGTCCCTCCAATTTGAAGGAATATCAGTAGGATTTGGCAAGTGCTTGCACAGCTGGGTTTGATTAGCTGGAAGCATTGTTTAGTCATGACTACCCTTTTCTGAGAAATTCATGGTTCATCAGGTGCTGTAGGGAGATGATGTAAACTTGAGCCAAGATTGCTGTGGAGTGAAAATGGGCAGCCCATATTACAGTGGGACTGCTGTCACGCTTGCCTGGGGCAAGACCAGGTATACCTTGACTGCTAGCTGGATATACCCCTGGTTGGAGCTACGCAGGGCAGTCAGTCACTGTCCTGGGCTGTGCAAAGAGCCTTGCTGGGAGGTTATTTTAGTCCCCTCCAGCTGCATTGGCTTCAGCTGGATGTACTCCATAAACAGAGTATGGCAGACTGAGCACGTGGGTGGGAGTAAAGGAACAGGCTGCCATCTGCTCCTCTCCCTTCTGGGAGGCAGCAACAGTTCACAGCTCAAGTACTGCTGAGAGGCACCAACCAGAGCCCATCCTGGAGCAAAGGGAAACACTTGTTTCCTGCTATCCTTGGTCAGTGTTGGGGTTACAGCTGCATCTCAGAGTGCAGCCACATGCTCTTACCCTCCAGTGGGAGCTCAGAGCTGACAAATGCTTGTGGGAATTAGAGTTTTGAGCATGTTGGGGTAGAGAGTGGCTGTGGATAGCATCTCTGGATGGCATTTCCTAAGTCATCTTAGGAAATCTGTGACTACCCCTTCTGTAAAAAATGTAATGGAATTTGCTTTGAGTTCTGGCAGATCTCTAATACAGAGTCTGGTAGAATAATTGATTTCATATGTTGCTGAGAGTGTGTGTGCTGCAAACACCCTTGGAGTGCTCCCAAGCCTGGGGCTGCAGGAACTAAATCTGTTTCTAGTGATGCTTGTGGTGCTTCAGCCAAACATTAGCTCTTCTGACTGAGCTGCCAGGAGGGCTGGGCAGGGGGTGGTTGGAAGGTGGGGAGTTGAGTCACACTGCTGCCAGTACATGGCCTTGCTCATGTTGCTGTGTCCTCCTCCCCACAGGAAACAGGTTTTGGCTACCAAAGCTGAGGCAGAGAAGGATGGCGTGAAGGTCCCCACTACACTGGCAGAGTACTGCATCAAAACTAAAGTGCCTTCCAATGACAACAGTTCAGATTTGCTTTATGACGACTTGTATGATGATGACATTGATGACGAAGACGAGGAGGAAGAGGATGCCGACTGTTACGATGATGATGATTCTGGCAATGAGGAGTCGTGACCTGCTCCCTCTATGCCCCTGTACTGCCCTGTCAACTCAGGCCAGAAGGGAGCAGTGGTAACCTAGCAGGAGTCCAGCAAAAACGTAGTGATGGGGGGGGGGGTGGGGGGGGATAAAAAAACCTGTCTCCTGCTGTCTCCTGTTGTATGGATCTGTTTGCTCCTTTTTTATGGACCTCTTAGAGACCCTCCACAGAATGTCTGAATTCTTGCATTCTTAACCCTTTCATCCTTTCATCACTGTATTATGATTTCTTTTTTTAAAAGAAATTCCCTTTTTCACTTCTACAAAATGCTCACAGTGAAACAGGTTTGCTTGTGTTTAGATTCTTGAATTAAATACAGTCTTGCATTGAGATATTTAATGTATTTAAAGCTGGAACAAACCCACTGGAAGACGAATTTTCAGGAGCTCAAGTACTGCATTTACTGGGAAGAAAAAAATCCACACAAAGCAAATTGCCAGGGTTTAGCTGCTCCATTTATAATAATAGCGTGTGTACATTTGTTTAGCCTTGTGGTGGTGGCTTTTCCTTTATAAGGTGTGGGGTGGAAAGTGTAAAGCTACTGTGTGTTGAGCTTGATGGGATGTTACTGAAAGGTACAGGAATCTGTTTAGCCTGATCAAATTAGGAAATAGCTGGCCCCTGGATCCCCAGAGGGCACAATCAGCTTTGTCTCTGAAAAAGGCTTGTGATATGAACCCTAAAATAAACACTTAACACTTCACATCTGTACAACTGAGCCCTGGGTTGCATTATTTTTTTCAGACTAGGTTTGGGTTGAAAAAGTTTCATTTAGCTATTCTTCTGGGATCTGCTGTCAGCTGCCCCTCTACTGAGGGAGGAAAACAGAAGTGTATCCCACTGCCCAGTGGGCCAGCATTCATCCTGAACTTCTTTTTGGCAGTGGGAGAGTCTCCTTCTCCAGTGCTTGCTAGTAGCCCTTGCTTCCTGCAGCCCAAGTCCAGTGCTGGCCTGAGCCTTCTTTCTGTTGCTTATGTAGGCCACCTGCTGGTAAATGCAGCTCTGCTGTAGCTCTGTGGGGTTGGCAGAAGATAAAGCTCCCTGGGGCAGCCAGGCTGTTCCTGTGCCTGCAGTGGCTTCTGGGACATAGGGCAGAGAGATGGATGTGTGCTGGGCTCTCTCCTGCCTGGCTGGCTGGGGCACAGGTGGATGTGTGCAGCCCCACAAAGAGAAGGGTACACAGTGCTTTCAGGCTGAAAAAGAAAGCCAGCAATCAGGGTTTGACAGCCTATTTAGGAGTATGCTTCAGCTGGTGCCCTGAGCTCAGCCTCCTGTATTATTTTGGGAGCTCTTGGCAGAGCTTAGGGCCCTCAGCACCCTCACCCCATTGCAGTGTGCTCTTGTTCAGCTGTAGTGCAGTGCCCTGAATTCACCTTTCACATGGATTGGCAGCCAGCCCTGCCCTTCTGTGCTGAGCCCTGGCAGCCCCAGGAGCAGATCAGAGGTGCTGGCCCTGCTTGGGTGAGACCCTCTGTTCTCACAAGAGGCAGTCACCCTGATAAGAACTGCAGGCTCAGGCATTTGATATAGCTTGGTGGTTTTAATGATACATCACCAGCTGCAGTCCCTCAAGAGGTACTTTGGTGGGAGTAAACTTTGTTCTGTGATCAGCTTGGTGGGAAGCAAGGAGCAAGATGAGAGTGAGCAAGTTTAAAGTGTATTGCCTGGAGGGAGAGGAGGGGAAGGCCTGTGGGGCTCTGTTTGAAGTTATCAGAATGTTGCTTGGCTGGGGTTTGCTGCAGCAAGGACAGTCCCTGTCCCTCTGCCCCAGCTTGTGCTAGTGTGTCCTCAGCAGAATGAAGGCAGCCCAAGTGGTAATACCTTGTCCCCAGTGTGTTCTGTGATGGTCTGCTCTCCTGCTTGCTTTTTACCTGGGGAGGCAGCTGGAACCCTCCTCAAGTGTCCCACAAGGGCTCCTTCAGGTCATCCTTCCATCAAGGACTAACAGCCCCTGGTGCTTTTTGGAGCCAGCAGCGCCCCCCCCCCCCCCCCCCCCCCTCCCCCCTCAGCTCCCAGCTTCACACCAGCCCTGGGAGAGTGATGCTGGTGTTGGCAAATAGGCTTCTGGCACTCGATGCAAGACTGGTCTCAAGGCCACACTGGGCCAGGAACATCAGCCTCCAGCTTTGAGGGGCTGTTGGGGGCATGAAGGAACAGAGTATGGCAACACTGGCTGTGCTGACGGTTTGAAATGATACTGCAGCTTTCAGGATTTCCCTTGTATTTTTGACTGTCTTCACTGTTCACTGTATGCTCTCCAGTGAGTTGTATTTTCAAGCTTGGTGTTGTAAGATGCATTATCTCATGTTAACCTTTTTAAAGACAAAAAGCAATCTATTTTGAGAGCTCTGACCATAACCAAACTAATTTCTCTTCCCCACTGTCCTGTTCAGTGTCATTGCTTGTTGACTTGCTGGTTTCATTTTTTGAGATATAAACTGAAATGAGGGTATTATGTTTGGGTTTTGGGTTTGTTTTGGTGTTTGGGTTTTTTTTTGAGCTTTTTTTACCTATTTAAGAAATTGTGGAAAAATGTTTACCTGATCATTGTATTCTGTTTTTTTCTTAACCTTTTTCTCATCTCAGCCAATATTAGTGTTTACATTAGCAACTACCTGCCCTTTCAAATACAGTTTTCAACAATTCTGAAACCAGCAGGGTACACTACATTTCTTAGTAGTTTTCTTAGCTGAAATCCCAGATGGTTTCCTTTTTTTCTTCAGTATAATTTACCAGAAACAATTAACTGATGCATTTTTGTGTTGTCTTCCTCTTCAGTAATGTTTTGTATTTTCTGCACATCTATTAATAAAAATGTGAAATGAAAATATGCCAGTACTGTTACTTCCCTGTTAATTGAGTTAGTCTATTTGCATGGGTTACTTAAAGCTTTGAATAACAGCTGTTCACAAATTCAGTGGTGCTCCAGTATCAATACCTATACATGTACATAAATAATCTACAAGATTATTGGAAAACTAAAGCTGCTGTTTGACAGCTGTCTATACCTTAAAGAACAAACTGATTTGGAGAAGCACTTTGGCAAAAAGCCATGAGCTTTGCTGTTATATTTATTTATTCATCTTAAGTCAGCAAAGAGGAGACCAGGGAGAAGACTGTTAATGGTATCATATGACTGCAGCAGGATGCAAGGACTTGGAGTAATGGTGGTGCTGGCATGGGGTTGGGGTGCTGCTGGTGGCCAGTTTTCTGGGGCAAGGTGCTTTGACCTCATGTAGAAAATCGGCAGAGGAATTGAGGTAATCACTGCCAACCACCCCTTCAGGGTGCTTGCCCTGCCTGGCCCATGCTGTTCCCTCCAGGCTCAAGAGTGGAGAAGTATCTGTTTTTGCAGTGCTGAAATTAGTAGGACACGTGTACAGGTGTTGTATTTGCTATACAACATTTTTTGCAGCACAGCAACGGCCGAGTCAAATGTGTTTGGGGCCTGAATATTTCTGTTTCACAACCATGCTAGAGGAGTGGTTATGGCATTGCAGAACTGACTTCCTAGAGGAGTCTCCATTTTGGGGAATGAGATGGTGCTGTCTGGGCCTTCTGACTGGGATAAGGCCTGCTTGTAGCTCCTGCCTGCCTTGAGCTGACAGTAGCATCTTGATCTAGCAGGTGTTGTACCAAAACCAGGACCAACATTCCACGCTGCTCTGCACTGGACAAACCTGGCTGCCCCTTGTGCAGTGGTTGGGGTTTTATTTTCTCCATTTCCTTGATGGCCAAGTGCAGCAGAGCAACCTTGGTTCTACCATCACTGTGGAACAGAGACTTAAAGAGAAAATTCCCACAGAAGAGCCCTGTTGGAGCTGACGTTAAGGGGAAAACATCCTGTTTAGGCTTGCCAGGGGAGGGGAGGGAAGGGAGGCAGTAAGTCTCCAGCCTGCAGAAACAGATTGTTGTATTCCCAGTGCAGGACCGAGCACTTCACTTTATTGAACCTCACCACAGACCTTCCTCCTGATGGAGTCCCTGGAATTCATGGGCAAAGCAAGGAAGGATAATGTTGCTGTGCTCCCTCCTTAACATTCCCAGCTGTTCCACAGGGCCTCAGACAGAGCACAGCAAATGCAGAACATGATGCTTGTGGCAGAAGTCAGGGTGCTGCCCAGGATCCCAACCCAATGCAGCTGCCTATGAGCTTTCAGTACCAAGGTGTGCTCACTTTTGTCACAGTATTCAGCATCCCCAGCATACCCATCTCTTGCTCTTACCTTCCCAGCAGGAGGAGGTAGAAAGGGACAGGCTGTAAAAGCAAAACTGCTTGAGGCCTTTGAAAATGCAAACACTAGTGATACATTCAAAAATTTATTAGTTGGAGGGAGAGTCAAAAAGAAATAAAACTCCTAAAACATTCACTGCACTGGTGTAGGACAAGAAAGACCAGGAGTTGCCTCCAGGGTATTGTTTTAGAAAAAAGTGGGGAGGGACAGGTGAAGTTTCCATCAAGTAGCTGTGTCTTTTCTGGGCAGGGTGGCTCAAGGCAAAAAGAGGTACAAGACACAGCTTATACTTTAATTTAAGAAACCGCTACATAGTTTTTGCCTCTAATGATAGAAAGGAAGTTGCAGGACCCACTGAGCCATCCAAAGTCTCTTGCTAGAGAAACAAAAAAACCCCAACCCAATACCAAAACACACAACCACCCCCTCCCCCAACAAACAAAAAAAGGCCTTTATTATTAAAAAAAGTGAAAAATAAAAAGGTGAGAGTGCAGCTCAGGGCCACAGTGAACAAACTGCCCACAAGAGTTCATCTTCCACAGCAGGAAGGAATGAGGAGATGAAAGAAAGAGGAAGGACCCACAAAATTTTTTTTTCCCTTCCCCCAGCCCCTTTTTTATCTCTTTCAAGTAACAGCTATACTGGGGACTGAGGGCAGAAATCAAATAAACAGGACACATCTTGATTACTTTTTTTTTTTTTTGGGGGGGGGAAGCAGGTCTTATTTGCCTGAATTTAGAACTGCATTAAATAAATGGGCTCCAGCTCAAAAAAAAAAGGCACAGTTTGTCTTTTGACAGAGTTATAAAGCTTAAAAAACCAAGGAAGGATGATCTGATGCAGATGGGAAATTCATAACAAGTTTCCCTACAAAGAAAATAAAACAGGCTGCAAGATGCAGAAAACCACATTTAGCCTCTATTGCATTTACAAATACATATATAAATATATTACATACAACAGCAACTTCAAGAGGAAGCAGGCAAGTCACACTGAGAATGGCTGCCTGGCTGCAGTTCTCCCCTACAGATGTTTGGCTGAGCAGTAATTTCTCCTAATAATTCTAGGAATGGGGGTTAGCTTTTTATTTTTCTCTTTTTTTTTTTTTTTTTGCCTCCTCTCCTTTTATTCTCTCCCCCCTCCCCAGTTTTGGATTTAGTTTGTCCAATATGGAGAAGTACCATAGGTTTTGGTAGCCTGAGACTTTTGCTGCATGGTGCTGGGTTGATTGCGTTGGCCAGATCCATCCTAGAAAGAAAAGAGACATGAGCACCAACACTACTAGGAAGACAAGCCTGTCCATACATCAGCAGAGGAGCTTCCACCAACACAGTGATGCTCCCCCCCGGACGGATCTGTTTCTGCTCTGCAACATCTCTACATCCTGCAATCCAGGACAGTCACAGAGAAACCAAACAGAAGAGCAAGGACCACCATTCCACTACCTCCCACTCAGGTTTAATGACAAGGAAGAAGAGGAGCA